TTGCCCTTAGCGCCTGAAGGGTCGGCCTTCCAATGACGGCATTGTATTGGGAGCCTCCCTTTATTACCAAAAAATTGGCCATTTTGGTGGCCTTTTGAGGTTTCTCCCCGGCGGTTATAGGCAGCCGGATTGTCCCCTGAGGGATGACGGAGTCCCCAGTGAAACCATACAACAGTCTGGAGGTTTTTTCCAATTGCTCCTTTGGGATCCCCATCTTTTCTAGGCAGTCAGAGTATATGAGGTCTACTGAGCTCCCATTGTCCACCAGGATTCGGCATACGGTGTGATTTCTAATTACGGCTTCTACCACCAAGGCGTCATTGTGGGGGAAGTGAACCCCGTTGGCGTCGTCCTCATTAAATGCTACGTCAGCGCTGCCAAACCTTGTTGCTTTTGTGGTGCACTCCAGAACCATTCCTGGTACACCCCTCTGGCTTCGTGGGCGTAGTCTTTTTGAGATCTCCTCGAGTCTCCTCCAATATACGGACCACCGAGGACGGTCCGTATGACGCCAACGGGTTCTCGGTCCTCTGGTCGTTGGTTCTCCTCTCGGCGTCGACCGTCATTTTGGCCTTCCCTCACGGATTACCCTTTCTATTTCATCTTTAAGATTGGCGCAATCATTAGTGTGGTGGTCGACGTCGCCGTGGAACTTACAATATTTCTTCTGGTTCTTTCGGTTTGGATATGACCTCATTGGCTCTGGGTGGCGCAGTAAGTTCCCACGACCTACCTGATTAAACACTTCCTCGACTCCTACTATAAATTCATGGTAGGAATCGTACCTTTGAAACGGTCGAGGCTTGCGGTTCTCCTCTTGCCTCGGCTTCTTAGGTTCTGGAGTGTTCGGCGCCGAAGCAGACTGTTTGTCCTCGCTTCCTCCGCCTCGTCATTTCTTTCCGTCCTGCTTCCCTGCCGTCGACCCTTGCTCAGTCCCTTTGTTTTTATTGGACCTGTGCTCGGGGTCGTTTGCATCTGCTTCCTCGGCATTGATGTACCCTTGCACTCGTGCAAGGAATTCTTTGTAACTGGACGGGATCTTCCAGTTCAGCTATCTCTTGAAGGGGGTAATTTTTGTCATGCTAGATAATGCCCCCATCAAGGCCTCCCTGTCGGTTATGTCTGTTGTTGCGGCGACAGCTTCCCATACCTTGCGAGCCACTCTTTTAATGACTCGTTTGGCTTCTGGTATATTGTTGTCAAATTCTGCTTTGGAGGGACATATTTTTGTACTCCCATAAACTGAAGGGAAAATGCTTCCTTCAACTCGTCTCAGCTTGAGATGGAGTTTGGTTTTAGCGTTCGAAACCATTTCTGGGCAGAGTCCGTTAGATGGTTTCGGAAGGCTCGGCACATGATCTCCTCGGCATATCCATGCAAGAGCATGTGCCCCGTGTACATTTCTAGGTGATCATCGGGATCCCCTCTGCCGTCATATGGTGCGATCGAGGGTGACCTGTATTTATCGGGGAGAGATGGCGCCATAATTTCCTCGGTAAACGGGTGGTCGTGCGTCCGGCTAGGTGTGATGTCGACGTTCACCACCTCGGCCACTCACCCTATATTTTTCTTTAGGTCGGCGACATTGCCCGTGAGCTTTTGCTCTAGGCTGGCCATGCGCTCCATAATGGCTAGTGCCTCCTCTGTAGAGATTGCTGAACCAGCTCCTCTTGACGCTTCTGCCCTTTGTGCATTGGGTCCGCCTCTGGCTCGTCCGCCCACTTGCACCGACCCCGCATCTTCTAGAAGGTTTCTGCCTGGGTTCTGAGGTGGCGCTTCGGGGTTTCCTAGGCCTCTGGCTATTTGGTTCTCAGGAGCTCAGAGTCCGGCGGCCCTTAGACGATTGCCGGTGGATTAGGAGGGCCGAGGCCTGGGATCACCTCTAAGATTTTCACTGTCCCCGATTCCTTCTGGGATATCTTGGCGGTCACCGGGGTTGTGGTTTCCAGCCACGACAGCTTCTAACAGTCTCGGGGCGTCTTCCAGAGGCGGCATTGAGTTTCTTCCCTCTAAGCGCTCAACTACAGTCATCAGTCCCCGCACCAGGTCGGTTAGGGTAATGAGCTGGGCTTGCATCTGCACAGGGTCTGGTTGTGGCATGTCTGGGGGTGGGGCTCCATTTCTAACCGGAGGTAGGTCTTCTTCCATTCCCTCGTTTGCCGGATGTGCTGTAGTTTCTTCCATTTGGCCGCCTTAGTTGATGGCCTCAATTCTTCTTCTTAGAGGCATGTCAACAAACGTATGAACAAGAGATTCTGGGTTCGGTCCCCAGTGGAGTCGCCAATTGTTGATGGTTGAATTTCGTCAACAGAAATACGCCGGGTTACCCACTGGTATCCCGTTGGGTTACCGGCTGGAAATTAACGGTATATTTGAAACTATGCTATAAAGTGTTTGTTGTGTTTTGTAAGCATGAGTGTAATGCTTGTATAAGAGGACACCCGAGATTTATAGTGGTTCACTCCGTTAATGAAAAGCTACATCCACTTGTGTATGATATATTTCTTTTGGACTTTTTACAATTTACATGCACGTATATTCTCTCTATGATTCAATACTCGAGGAGTCCATCCCCATTGTGTATGGGGCTTTGCCCTTTTTATAGCTCAAGCTTCCTTCGTGGGTGGTTTTCCTTCGTAGGTAGAAGTACTCGAGTGGTATACCCTTCTAGGCCTGAGCCGTAGCCCACTAATCACCTTTTGGACTGTTCACTCAGCCAATTGATCTTCTATTACGGCTCTGTGGATTCCTGTAATCCTTCACTGCCCATTGTAGGGCGGTTTATGGGTTTGCAATTAATGCCCATATTGCAGACGTCTCCCACCCCTAGACGTAACTTGTGATGTCATGCTCATTTCTGAAGAGTATTCCGCTCGTCGTCTGTGCCGCATAGACCTCGTGTCCTTTCTGACAGTCGACCATTTCTAGAGGAAGTTTGTTGCATAAGTTTTGACGACACAACTGGTCGATGCCCTAATTTGGGCCTTTCTTTGTAGCGTCGAGGGGAAGCGAGCTTCAAGCGTCGAGGGTTGTCACCTTTTGAAAGAAAGTAGGGTCACGTGTTACGCTGTCGCCGTTCCACATATCACTCATATTTTCTCACACAACACAATTTATGACGCAAAAATACAATTTATACTTATCTTTATCAGTGTCCCCCAAAAGAAACTTTATGATCGGTAAAAGATCCGCTAATTTTAAAATTTTTATCTTTACAAGTGCCCCACCCAAAGAAAATAAAATCTTTTATAAGTTCCACCACCCAAAGAAAAGTTTGGAACTTCCAATAACAACAATATATATAGCACATGGCTCTCCGTGCCTCCGCTATATAAAAAGGAGGAAAAATGTGCACCAATTGCACGTGAGTCACTGCATAGTGCAAATTCCAATACAAACTGAACAGTTCGTTTTGTTAATTGAAATTAGAATAACTTTTAATTATAGTATTTTCTATCCTAAAAATTTAAATTTAATTTAATTTATTACATTATTTTTTTAATATAAAATTATTTTTTAACTCAAATTTTAAACTCTTAATTAAAAACAGCGAAACAAACGGAAAAATATAAGAACAGTGGAAAATAACACCGGTTGAATACCTTTTCCATTTGACAAAAAAAGGAGAAAATAAGAGTAACACCTACTCAAATAATAATAATAATAATAATCTATACAACTAAAGAAAAATGGAATTTTGGGCAGGTATAACGAAATGTTTCGTCATTCTCTTTTTTTTTTTTTTAAGAAAATAATTCAGTGTGCTTGGATTCACTTGCCTGTTTACTTCACTGATTCAAATTTATAATTCGAGTTGAGATGTGATTTTATATGAGAGTTTTTTACTGTAGTAAAAAAGTTAGATGTGATTATTTCTGAGAACTTTTTATTATAACAAAACTCAAATTCTAAACTCGAATTGGTGAAGTGAACGGGCAATGTTTCCGTCTATGATTGGAAGGCAACTTCAGTGGGATCCACGTGGCAGCGTGTCATTGGAAAGTTCAACGACGCAAAAATGTGTCAAAGTTCCAGTGGCTGTAGAAACGAGCTCATGTAAATCATACGGCAGCAGATCTCACGCGAACATGAACAGATATGTACACGTACTGGCGCGACAGACCTCCGCGCGCCCTTGGCTGGGCGTGATTTCACGCGCGAATCTTAGTCGTTGAGTGTCTCAATCCGACAACCGAGATTCGTTCTGAATTTAATTATTAATTTTTATTGTCTATTTTGTTTATTTGTTTGTTTTTAACTCATTAATTGGCTGATTTTGTCCACTTTAACACTTTTTTGTATTAAATTTTTGATACTACTCATTTAAAAACACTATAAGTAATTCAAATAAAGAATAAAATTAAATAAAAATACACTAAAATAAATTAAAAACGCACTAAATTAAATAAAAAATTAGTGAAACAAAACAAAATAGAACTAATTTAAAACACAATAAAATAAATCAAAATTTTTTTCTTCTTATTTTTTGTTTCAGATCTTTTCGCATTTTTGTCTTCATTTATTTTATGTCCTTTTATTCTTCTTTTCCTTTTTTTCTTAAATAATTTGTATAAACGTTATTTTAAATAAATTACGCTCATAATAAAGTCTAAATTTCTGTTTTATTATTATTTATTCTATTTGTTATTTATTTTAATTGATTTTTTGTCTGATTTTTTCCGTTTTTATACTGTCTTGCACCCCAGTTCCCTTCAAATAAAAATGCTATAAATAATTAGAATAAAAAATAAAATTAAACAAAAATACATTAAAATAAAATAAAATAACATCTAATTAAATAAAAATAAATTAAACAAAATAGAACTAATTTAAAACACAAAAAAATAAATTAAAATCTTTGTTTCCATGTTTTTATTTCGGGTCTTTTCCGTTTTCGTCCTCATTTGTTTTATTTATTTTTTTAATAAAGGGTCTCCCTCATCACCGGACAAAAAAGGAAAAACAAAAAAAAAGCTATATAACCAGACTATTTCATTGCAGATGCATAATAATAGTATATTATTATTAAATTACCGACTCATTTCATTTACTCTCTGAAGTCCTCACCACCAACAATGGCATCGGAGCAGCAACTCGAGCCATGGCACGACCTGAGTGGGAGGGTGGTGATGGTCACCGGAGCCTCATCGGGGCTCGGCCATGAGTTCTGCCTCGACCTCGCCAAGGTCGGCTGCCACGTCATCGCGGCCGCTCGCCGCGTCGACCGCCTGAAGTCCCTCTGCGACCAAATCAATAATGTCGTTCTGCCCACCCAGTCGTCGTCGTCTACTGATCTCAGAGCGGTGGCGGTGGAGCTCGATGTCTGCGCCGACGGGCCCACCATTGAGAAGTCCGTGCAGAAGGCTTGGGAAGCCTTTGGGAGGATTGATGCTTTGATTAACAACGCGGGATTCAGAGGTTTTTGTTTTGTTTTGTTTCGTTTTGTATTTATTTATTTATTTATTTTCCAAATGTTTCTCTTCTGTTAAAATTCATTTATGATTGTTTTCGAGCAAATTTATGCGCGCGCGTGTATATATATATATGTTCTTTTTCTGCTTTGGTTTTTTGTACTAACTGGGTCTTATACAATAGAGAATCAAATTTTATTTGTATTTGATTTCTTCCCAATGTTTTTTGTTTTTGTTTTTTTTTAAGTGTTAGTATTGGACTTTGAGGAAGAGAATTTTGTGTAAATGTCGTAGTCTGTTAGAATGTTAGAATTTTGACTTTGTTATTGTTACTATTTTGTTCTGAATTTTTATAGTTTGTATGTTGATTTTGTTAAAGGGAATCCCTTTTTTATTCACGGAGGATTAGTTTTTTTTGGTTATTAGAGAAGCTGCTGAATTAAAATGAATGTTTTCATTCTTTTGATTCTTTCTTTTTCATTATTTGAAACTCGAGACATATGGGAAAATTACGGACCACAGACTCTTCATCTTAAAGTTGTTTTGTTAATCTGCTATAAATTTTATCAGACGCAAACGTGGCCTTATGGCACAAATTTTATCAGAGAAGTACATATTCCAGTAAAACCCAGATAAGAAGATGTAGTTCTAACATATATAACTACAAAATCTAGTGCCTCAAACGAGTATATACATTATTTAAACGGATTAGTACTATACATATCTGTATAGTTGCAAGACAAATTTGAGCTCTTTTGCTATATTGCATTGCAATTTGATATCAATATATGTTGCTTCAGTTTTAGCCAAATTTTGATTTCAATCTCTGGATGCGTAAACTGTAAACAAAGGTTTTTGTTACAAATTTCCTCAAAATGTGTGAAGACAGAAGTTTATAGTTATATTTGTGTGCCTTTAGGTAATGTGAAATCTCCATTGGACTTGTCTGAGGATGAATGGGACACTGTTTTTAACACAAACTTGAAAGGAACTTGGTTGGTGTCGAAGTACGTCTGCAGACTGATGCGCGATGCAGGTCGAGGAGGGTCGGTCATCAACATTTCTTCTATTTCCGGGCTTAACCGTGGTCAGTTGCCTGGGGGACTCGCATATTCTGCTTCGAAGGCCGGTGTGAACACGTTGTCAAAGGTAATGACATGTAACTTTGCCGCTGATTTGAGATGAAACACTGTTATAGACATGCTTGTCAAATTAAGTGCGGTTGTTGACCTTCAAACTGAAATGATAAGAAAATTCTATTAAGGAATGACCGAATAGAGAAAAGAGAAAATACACTAAAACAAAATCGCATAATAGGAAAAAAAGAATAAAAAGAATAAAATTCAACGTTTTTGTGTTTTTTTTTCTTTCAATTATAGTGCCAATTTCTAAACGTGTAACTTGGGGTTCAGCTAGGACAGGGAAGGAATGGTTGAGGCTTTTAGTTTGTTGCAAGTTTCTTAGCTAAGATGTGTTTACTTGCTGGTTATTATTGCGTATGGACCCAAGTGATATAGTTATCATTCAGATTCTTATTTTGCCTTTTCCTCTTCAACTTACCTTATTCTGCTCTCTATTTGGCAATTAGTAACTAATGTATTGTATATTGGAAACTACCCTTGAGAATTGAGATCACTCATTGAAAGACCTCAAAAACTCTCCAATTTCCTTTTATGTTTCGACTTCTTATTGTAAATTTTAAATCTGTCGTCGTAATCTTTATCATTTTTTTTTAATGTAAATGGAGAACGAATAACTTACATCAAAGAAGCTTAGCACATCCCAAGTAGGTTGGCCCGCCTACGAAACTCGTCCTCCTATTCGTTACCAACTAGTATGCCTACACCTTGAGAACAATAGTATGTCATAATATCAGTCACTTCCAAGTTTTTACAATATGGAAAGCCTAAAAGAAGTCTAGTAGCTTATAGGCTAATCTAAGGCCTCATTCAGTTTGTTGCTTTGAGTTTTTAATTTGAGCTGAGATGTGATTTTATATAAAAGTTTTTTACTATAGCAGAAAAAGTTAGATGTGACTTTTTGTGAGAGCTTTTAACTGTAGTAAAATTGAAATTGAAAACTCTTAGGCCTCGTTCGTTTCGCTGATTCGAGTTTAGAATTTAAGTTTTGCTACAGTAAAAAACTCTCATAAACAGTCACATCTAACTTTTTTACTACAGTAAAAAGCTCTCACATAAAATCACATCTCAACTCGAATTCTAAACTCGAATCAGCGAAACGAACGAGGCCTTAGTGTTGTCCACTTCTTGGATTATTCTTGATTTCATTAGTGATAAGAAGAAGACTTATGTGTAATCATACTGATAGAGAAGAGATGACAGGTTATGGCTCTTGAATTGGGGCCTTACAAGATCAGAGTGAATTCAATATCACCGGGGCTCTTCAAGTCTGAGATTACTGAAGGCCTCATCAAGAAAGATTGGCTATCCATTGTAGGTGAGAGAATTGTGCCTTTAAGGACTTTTGGCACCTCGGATCCGGCATTGACGTCGCTTGTTCGATATTTGATACATGATTCTTCGGAATACGTTTCGGGAAATGTTTATGTCGTCGACGCTGGTTCTATCTTGCCGGCGGTCCCTATTTTTTCTTCTCTTTGAATTTTGTGGTTTTTTTGGCATTCCCTGTTTCGCCAGTTATGAGTGAAAGAACGCAAAGACAGTAGAAAGATTTGAATATTTGATAAACGGCCTGAATGTCGTTTCCCATTACCATGTAATAACTAATAAATACTATCTATTAAGGCTGTTTGCTTTGGGAAAACGATGATCCATAAATTAGTGCCGTAATGTTCCACTATTTTTTGTTTTTTCAATCTTAATATTTCTAGCGTTTTGTGTTTTGTATTTTTTTTTTGAAAGACAATTATTTTTGCTTAGTTTTACTTGAAATCTGCTTTCGTTAAACTTTTCAAAGGGGAAAAAAAAAACAAAAACTAATGTCTGTATACTTCATTTAGTGATATATGTATATTTCATTTAGTGAAACTATCAAATATATTTCTTCAGAAAAATGTATGTTTTTTTTTTGGTTAAAAAAAAAAAACATAAAGAGATGTCTGTATATTATTATGACAGCTTTTTTTTTTTTTTGTTTTGAAAAAGTACGATTCAAATGTTTTTGACCAAAACTTTATTTTTTATTTAATGGTAAATTCAAAGTCAAAGATATAAATTATTCTTTCGTCAAGAATTTTAAAGCATGACTTATATAAAAATAGTATAAAAGAGTGTAATAAATATTACGAAAATAATTAAAAACAAAAACCTTTGAATTTGTTTTACGGGGGTAGAAATACCATTGACGTAAATATGAAAAATATAATTGTACCGAAAAAATGAAAAATATAAGAAACAATTAAAGAAAAATGGAAAAATTATCTACGCAAAGAAGTGATCCTGACATATCCTAAATTGGGTAAGATTATATATATCCGAATGTAAATAGGAGTTGAATTACTAAAGAGTTTAATTTTTAATTTTATAATAGTTGGTCTTATTGTTTTAATTCGTTTGGTTGAATATTTTTGTGTTGTTAATGGACATTCTATCCACGACTTAAAAATAGAACTGCGGGGTAAGCAGTTTGAATTCTTCTTTTGAGTTTTATTGAGAATGGTTTTACTCATCTGGTTGTTTTTCTTCATGGCAACTTTGGTTCTTGTTCTTCAAGATAACTTTGGTGTCTATGAAGAATATAAAACGCCTAAAGTTTGGGGGGTCTTATGCGAAAAAGATGGGCAGGATGATATATATTGGTTTTGTAGGGGGATTTAGTCATCAATTATGAGCTGCCAATTAAATACTACACACAAGAGCTGGGTTATGAGGTCTACTTGCATCCAGTGGCGGATTTAAATACAGCTCAGTGGAGGCTACCGTCCCAATTCAAAATTTTTTTTTTTAAATATTAATTTTTAAAATTTTAAAATTTTACACTTAAACTCCTACTGAAATAATTTATGCTCACACTAAAATAAATATATATTTTTATATGTCTCCACTAAGATAATTTATTAAAAAAATTTAATATACACCCTCATTAAAATGAAAAGTTGACTCCATCACTGCTTGCACCGGATTTTGTAAGTTACTAAAAGCCGCCTTACGCCTTATGCAAGTCCGATTGTTATGGCCTTCTTTACCACATTTGTCACTTCATATTGGAGGCTCAAGCGTTCTCACTCTCTGGCCTTCTTGGCCGCCTTCTTTATTTAGGCTTCAACATTGGAGGCAATGCAGATTTAGCCCACTCGTCTTGGTCGGTCTCTAATGGCAGATATCTTATATACATAAGTATTAAGATACACCCTCTTGTACTAATGACGAACATATTCCTCAGGATCTTGGCCCATTTTCCAAATACAGGCAATGGCATATGAGCATGGAATCCCAGAGTGTCACCATTTTCTCCATGAACAAGTTCTCACATGATAAGCCTCGTTTAGTTCGTTAATTCGAGTTTTCAATTCGAACTGAGATGTGACTTTTAACTGTAGCAGAAAAAAAGTTAGATTTGACTTTTTATGAGAGCTTTTAACTGTAGCAAAACTGAAATTGAAAACTCAAATCGGTAAAATGAACGAGACAATAGTTTGTATCAAGTTGAATGCGTGTCACCCTTCATGACGCATGTAAGACAGTTTTTGTCCCATTCAAGCTTCCACCAACTTGTTCAGTGAGATATCACACTTTAGAATGGTCCTGAAAATAGCCCCTGGTCCAATGAGCCAAGCCTCTTTTCCATCTACCATTCAAAAGCCTTCAGGTCCTCATTTGTAATATCTTCCGCGACGGAGTTAAACCGTGCCTCAGTTGCGGCCTTTGCAACTGCCATCATATTCATCTTGAGTGTTTGATCCTAAATTTTCAATTTTATTAGTAGCCAATTTCCTCATCCTATAGGCCTTATGTCCTGTTACATTGCAGAGTGTTTGCTTTCGGACTTTGGCGACAAAATCAGCTGCAGATCAGTTACCACTCCCTCGAAAATCTTCAACAGGTTTTCCACAGCAAGCCAATTAGAAGTGGTAAATCTGCTTCAGTTTATTCTTCCACGTTTGTTCCGAAATGCAAGTCTTAGGCCTCGTTCATTTTACCGATTTAAATTTTTAGTTTTAGGGCTCTATAGTTAATAAAACATCTAATTTTTTATGTTACGGTTAAAAACTAGAAGAAAATATCATATTTTAGCTCGAATTGAAAATTTAAATCTACGAAGTAAACGAGACTTTAATAAAGAACTTTTCATGAGTCTTGGAAGAATCGCACACCCATGCATCATCTTTTCCAATTAAAATTGCATGAATGCATCACATTGAAGCTTTAAGGGTCTGTTTGATAGGGTGGATTGAAAGGTGGAAGGATAGGGGTGGGGGAAATGAGGGAGGGGAGCTTTTTTTGTTTGTTTGTTTGGTTGGGTGGATTGGTCAAGGGAGTGGAATCTCGTAAGAATCTTCCCTACTTAGGATGGATTGGTGACGGAGACAAAAGTCACAATATGACATTACAAATTTAACTCTCTTTTGTTGGAAACTCGTACCACTTAATAAGTAGGTTTTTATTTTCCTGCAAAACTTCATCTCATTAATAATTAATAAATGAATTTCATCTCAGCAAATATAGTTATCATATTTTTCAAAGACAGAATAATAAGTTCAAAATTTACGCAGTTTGCGTATGTATGCTAACATATATTTAAAAAAAAAAAACATATTTAATATTAGATGTTTATACTATTCGAATGCATTCAGCAGGAACATTATTTATATTACTATAATATTTCGGTGTTATGTATTGATAACGCACCAATTAACATGCTAACTAAATAAATTCAATTTATTTTCTAAAACGATTTATTTATCACGCGTAACATAATACTTTTATAAATAATAGCAATCCTTTCTTTACTTTCCACTTTTAATACCAAAGGGATGTATAACTATAATCTTTCCTTCCTATCATACCAAACAACGTTAAATAAATTTACAATCCTTCCCTTCCTTCGTATTATTCTTCCCTCACAACCTATCTATCCTTTCCTCATTCTATCCTTCCTACCAAACATACCTTAAGTGACACACACAAAAGACAAGAAACAAAAAACAAAAACAAAAATGCCACACATCCCAAACATCATGAAACAGAACAAATTTGTGGTCATGAAGTCACTTTGATATCGAGAGTTTTGCACATTACAAGTAACACCCATAAAAATTACCAAAAACCTAACACCAATGTATCTAACTATGTGATTTGCACTGCTCACTGCTACTATAGGTAATGAAAATGACAAATTTAGACTTACCATTGATGGGATATCAAACTTGTGCATGAAGTGGAAGCTCATAATATTGACCTTGTTGATTTCAGGACTTAATCAACTGGGAAATGATATTGGTGTGTACTTGGCAATGTTGATCGACGAGCTAAGGAGATTATGGGAAAGAGATATCGAAGTTGAGGATGGTTTCCATCAAGAGACCTTCACACTCCGTACAATGTTGATGTGGACCATTAATGACTTCCCTGCATATGAAAACCTATATGGGTACTTAGTTAAGAGTTCCATAGATTGCTCCGTTTGCATGATAGAGACATCTATCTGGTTGAAAAATAGAAAGAAGACGTTTTATGATGGTCATAGGAGATTCTTGCCTATGAATCATCGATACCGCAAAAAAAAAAAAAAAAAAGAAGCATTTATTGGTAAGACTGAAGAAAGACCACTTCCAAAACCGTTGATAGGGAAACAAATATTTGAGATGGTCAAGAACGTGAAAGTGGTTTTTTGGAAGAAGAAAGGAACAAATAATGAGCCGGCGATTGGACCTTAAAAGAAGAAGTTAATTTTTTTCAAACTTTCATATTGGAGTTTACTCTTCGTTAGTCATTATTTGGATGTCATGCATATTGAGAAAAATGTTTATGAGTCAATATTTCGCACGTTGCTTGACATCCCTAGTAAAATGAAAGATAGTCCAAAGCACGGTTAAATCTCGTGGAGATGCAAATTGGATGTGACTTGGGTCCTGAAGAAAAAAGCACTTGCACTTACATACCTTTGGCTAAGTATACACTATCGAGACAAGAAAAGAAAAAGTTCTGTGAGCGACTTACTTCCGTCAAAGTTCCAAAAGAGTATTCTTCCAATTTCAAGAATTTGGTGTCGGTGAAGGACTTAAAAATTATTAGAATGAAGATGCACGATTGTCACAAAGTGATGCAATAATTGTTGCCACTTGCTTTGAATGGAATTCTAACAAAAGATGTTAGATATGCACTTACTAAGTTTTGCTTTTTCTTTAACTCCATATGCTCGAAGGTAGTACATCTAATGATGTTGGATACAATACAATCAGTGTAACTCCTCAACCCCTTATGGGTTCCACCTTGCGGGACCTCAACATAGTCGGGTCTTCTACCTGTTACTCATACGTACTGTTCCTATAGGCACCTAACGGTTCTTAGGAATTTTTTTGCGTCCCCCAACACTTGAAACCACTCTCTGCTTATAAGGTTCTTATTGGTACCAATTGATCTGGAAGGTGTGCAAAAAGATTGATATTCGTTATATTTTTTCTTATGCCGTCGTCTTCTTCTTCTACTGAGGTATTTCTTTCTTTCTCTCTCCTTTTTTTTTTTTTTTTTGGATTTAGAGTCTTTGAATATCTCTCGTATGTCTAATTTTTGTATCGTCTCAAGTTATT